TTAATTCTTCCAATCCAACAATATGGAATATCTTTCCATTTCTTTAAGTCATCTTTAATTTCTTCATTCAGTGTTTTGTAGTTCTCTGTGTAGAAGTCTTTCACCTCTTTGGTCAGATTTATTCCTAAGTATATATATATATATTTTGGTTGTGATTTTAAAAGAGATTGTTTACTCTCCTTTTCTGACATTTTATTGTTAGTGTAAAGAAATGCAACTGTTTTTTGTATGTTAATCTTGTATCCTGCTACCTTGCTGAATTCTTTTATCAGTTCTAGTAGTTTTTTTGTGGAACTTTTAAGGTTTTCTATGTATAGTATCATGTCATCTGCATATAGCGACAATTTTACCTCTTCTTTTCCAATATGGATCCCTTTTATTTCCTTTTCTTACCTGATTGCTGTGGCTAGGACCTCCAAGACTATGTTGAATAGAAGTGGTGAGAGTGGGCATCCTTGTCTTGTTCCCGATTTTAGTGGGAAGGTTTTCAGTTTTTCACTGTTGAGTAGTATGCTGGCTGTAAGTTTGTCATAAATAGCTTTTATCATGTTGAGCTATGTTCCCTCTATACCTACTTTGGTAAGGGTTCTTACCGTAAATCGGTGTTGAATTTTATCAAATGCTTTTTCTGCATCTGTTGAGATGATCATGTGATTTTTGTCCTTTCTTTTGTGGATGTGGTGTAGCAAATTGATTAAAGTTTAATTCTGAGTGTTCTTTTGGAGAAAGATATACTACAGCTTGTTTTAAAGAAAGATATTATCACGCTCTTCAAGTGCAATACAATGCTGACTTCTCAATTAATTGCTTTATATAGTCATATTTATTCTTCTTTTGTTTTTGATTATCTGTTTGGGAATTCATCAAACTCTTTGTTTTGATTTTTTTTAATTCCACCTCACTGATAACATTTTGTGCAATTCACAACTCACTAGAATATCAGGCAGAGAGAGGAGAGACAAAGAATGGGAATCACACCTAAGTTTATACATTTTTCATATAGTTTCTGTTGGTGGAGGAAATGGACATTAATTTTATGGTTGTTTGTCAATTTACCATTATTATTCTTATGTAGCAACTACTTCTAATTTTTGTTTAAACCTTGTTCTACTTTATATTTTCTTTAATATCTTCTGATAGAAGTTTGGAAATATACCAAACATACTACAAACTGCATAGCCCTGTTGTGAGAATTAAACAAGATCAAATATGTTAGAGGTAATTTCTATAGCATAAAGCTTAATACAAAATTCACAAGGTATTATTATCATGTTTGTTTTCCTAACTAGGAAACTTAAGTTTGGTTATGATTCTTACTTGGTTTATGGAGACTTGTCATATGCTCTATACAGCATTCCCATTCTGTCAAAGACACTTGTAGCACAAACAGATCTTTTGGGTCATAAAGACAGGAAGAGTTGCTTGCACCATGGCCTAGATTAGTTGAAAGTCTCCTCTTATCCTGGGCTGCATTCAGAGTGGCAGCCTTATAGGCTATGAATGCTGAACCTAAAAGAACTGAATGATGACAAATGTCACTGCCAGAGCTCAGAATATTTAAATGTCCTATTTAGTTACATGAATGTCTATTAAAACCCAATTCTCAATTTTCATTAACAGGTAACCTTGGACGGGTGGACCAGGTCTCTGAATTTGAGTATGATTTGTTCATTAGGCCAGATACTTGTAATCCACGCTTCAGAGTCTGGTTCAACTTTACTGTTGAAAACGTGAAAGAATCACAGGTGAGGAAAATAGTGGATACCTTCAGTGTGGTTTTGGTAAGAAGATTATGCTTATGTTTTACTTTAGAAATATCCAAATAATGTTCATATTAGGAATATATTCTTATATATCTGTGACAGTGATACTGTTTTATTTCAAGAGATATAGGGTAATAACTATAATATGCTGACTTTTGTTATCTGGTATTTATTAAAAATACAAATAGATTATCTAAGAACACAAAGTGTTCTTTACTGATTGAAGCAGTAGTGTGATGTGTGAGGCTTACTTGGAGGACACCATAAGGAACCCCTGAAAGTGACTTGTTATTATGTTTATTATAGAGAGCTGTTCTGTGTATTATTTCTTCTTCATGAGACTGGTGAGGGACATTTCTCACAGGACTCAGTTTCAAAAAAAGCTGTTTCTTCTGCTATATAACAAGGTCTTTATATCTTAAAAACAATATGATTCTTGTAACTCATCCTACTTTTCCCTTTGCTTTGGCCGCTGCAAAGCTCATAGCTGATTTTATAGCCCTATGTAATGACTCTGGAAAACTTTTTTGGCTTGTGTTTCTGTGTACTAAGTTTTCTGTTATTCTGATAGTATTAATCTTTAACCATAATTTCTTTATCTACATTTTCTAACATAACAGTGTATGTTTTTATGATCCTGTTCAAATCTGTTTTGAATGAAAAGTATCAATGAAAATGGAGAGAACTAAGATATATGCTTTGAATAAACATTAATAAAAATCTAATCCCAAAAAATCAGTTATCATTCTCTGATTTTGAGATAGCTGATTTTGGAAGACTCTATGCAAACTTTGTACACATAGTGATAAAATTCTTTAAAGCAGTTGAAACCATAGCCCTATAATCTAACATCTGCCTTCTCCCTTCAGGGTCATCTTTTTCTAGTGTATTTGGGAGAAAGTGAGAAGTTTAATTTCCCCTCTCAAGTCAATCTGGCCTACTTGCTCTCTCACCTGGTTGCTTGTTTCTCTCCATTTTCCTGTACTGTAACTTGAGTTATGTGTTACGCAGGCAGTGGTCAGTGTCTGGAATTTAGGGACCCTGGTTCTTCCTTGACACATGCTGTTCCTGGCATGCTGACTTCCGCAGAAGAGGGGTTCAGGAATACCCACTTCACTTTACTACCAATTCTCTTAATTCTCTACGACACCACTGACACAGTACTGAGTGTAGTTTAGAGCCAACTAGAAGGAATTAAATATATGGGAGAACTCTGAACATTGTCAGCTAAATATGATTTATCTCAGCAGTTTAGGACAAGTGAGAAAAGAAAAGTTAAACCCCACACACATTGTTGCCCAAGGACAAACTTTAGTTCCTTGCTTTGCTTCTTGGTTTTCCTTACTCTCCCATGAGAGAATTCCTTTTTCAATTTTTCATAGTAAGATTAGTATTATTTCTCCCTTCCAACTACTTTAAGGAAACCTACACTTTACCTACAGGGCTTCACCTGACCCTAGGATTTTCCCTCTTGTTCCACCAAGACAGTAATCCTCAAAGTGCTTTTTCCAAAGACTGTATCATGGAGTCTTGAGAGTATAGCTCACAGCAAAAGGCTTTAGCCAAATGTACAAGGTTTAGTCTTGGTACTCCAAGTTTGGATTCCCTATGAAGATCTCTCTGCAACCTCTCATTCTTCTGTTGGTTTTCTTGTCTCATGTCAGTAATTTACAGTTGCCATGTACACACACCACTGAAAAACAAACTAATTCCCAGACAGTATAGTCAATTCATATGAAGGAAGGGTAACATATTTTTAAAAAGCAGTATGATCTGCCAGGATTTCTAAATTCACAACGGAGATTATACTCCTTTCCTCTGAATACACAGCATATGCATGTCTTTCTGCTTGTCTAGTGCATACAGAAATCCACTAACTCCTACGAAATGAAATCAATTATTTTTCAAACAACAGAGTCATCTGTTCTCATTATATCCTTTCCTAAGTAGAGATTTAGCAAAAGCTCTGAAATTATAGTGTTTTTAAAAACTGGGCCACATTAAATTCCTAGCCTAGTTTTTCTTTCACTTAGTCTCTCTTTAAAGAGTATCCTTATAGAGTTCCTATGGTCACAATGAGGGGCTGGGGAGTGGGATGGCTAGAGTGTCAGCAAAATGTGTTTCTTAAGTTATATGACCTGAGATAGTCTTTTGGACAAGTTGCTCATACATTTCTGTTTCTTGTTCTTTGTTCTTCTAGTTTGCTTACAGGTATATTCTTTTTGTTATTTAAAATGTGTCTTCCAGAGTGTTATAATTTTCACATTACATGTTAAAGTCATACAGTCTCTTTTGCAGTACTGTCTATCAATCTAGCAAGTAACAAGATTATGTTCCAAGGGATTTTCTACTAAGACAGTCGGTGCTGTTTTATGGATGCTTATTTTTAAAGTTGCAGTAACCAATATTTGCTTGGTCTGTCTGAGTTCTGTCTTCCTATCTGGTCCTACTCTACCTTGTTACAATTAGAAATCATGAACATGTTTATCTGGTTTCCTGGAGCCTGATGCTTTATCAGCTTCCTCCTGTGGCCCATTGCTTCATCAACTGTAATCATATTATATAGTTATGAAAATCTGTCTCAAGAAGGCATAAAGATCTGCTGGAAAGATACAATACATATCTCTAGCTCACAGGATATTTGTTTTCATGGTTGTCTACATGAAAGAGAATGGTTTTACTATTAAGTTTGACTTGTGAGGTCTGTTTTTATAACGTCTCTTCCTATAATCTTTTACCATCTCTCCAATTTCCTTTAAAATGAGACCTGCATGAATGTAATCTAGTCAGGAACCTTATTTAGGGTTTGGTACTAGCGGGCAAGAGAAATATTAATCATCAAAGGCTGACACTATTAAATGAATGTTAAAAATCGAAGCATCAAATATGCTGTATAAACAGGTCTAGCTTTTGGGTTATCTTCCTTGATGTTTTTAGGAAGTGATAAAAGCTTGGAACATATGGTGCTGTACTCCAGGACTGATATATTAACACCCCCTACAAAGCAGTTGCTAAATAGTACATTTGTAAGAATCTATGAAATCTAAACAACCTGGTATCTTTAATGAAAAGTCATTTTCTCTCTGAAAAACCTATATTAAACATTCTTATGTGGAAATTTATTATTGATGTAGCAGAACACTCATGTGATATGAAAGCAAATCTTTTTATTTAAATACTTAGAATAAAACTTAAGCCAATAAGAAGAAATAAAATGATATGCCTGGACTATTTAAATTAAACTCTGTTTTCCTTCCTTTGCATTCTATCTCTTTGAATTTATTTTTCTTTTTTCTGATTGTAAAAGTAACTAATGCTCAACGTAGCAAATTTGGAAAGTATAAATAATTATTAGAGGCAGAGAAAAAACAGACACACACACCCCTAGCTACCCCCTCTGCCACATAACACCCATAATCTTGCTGCTTCAAAGCAAATACTGTTGACTTTTTGGTGTATTTACTTTTAGGCTATATTATTTTTGGAGCATAATTACATTTGCACTGTATGTACATATTTATGTCTTACTTGTAAGGAAACTAAACAGTATCACAAGCAATTTTTTGTCATTATACATCTTATAAACATGGCTGTACAATAACTAAGTGTTGTTGGACCATTTCTTTACTCTTGAGCATAAAGATCATTTCCATTATCTGTCATTATAAATAACACTGTAGTGAACATCTTTATATGTGAAATGTTACCCACATTTCATTTTACTTCCTTAGGATAAATTCCTATGAGGGAAGTTGATATTTTTAGAACTCTTAATACATATTTTTAAATTGCTGCCACACAGTTTATACTATTTTTCTGTCTTATCAGCAGTCAGTGAGATGCTTTTTCATAAATTTCTTGTTTGGATTTGTTTAATGAACACAGAAGTTCATACATTTAGAATAAATTTCTTCTTTTTTCTCACTTTGAAACATCACACAAATAAATGGGATATAATGCAAAGTTTCAGGCCTCTAATCATAAAGGAATTAATTGCATTCCAGTAACAAAGTGAGACAACAAAACAGACATATTTATTATCTTGACTCTCTCAATTCATCAATTCTGTTTTGTCCAGTTGTGCCAACTGAATGTCCTTTGAGGTATGTAAAGGGAGATTTTTAAAAAAGTGTTTCTTTAACAATGAAGTCTTTCTTACATTGTTATAAGCAGTAATATAGCTTAAACATATGCACACACGTTTTTATATATGACATGTCTCAATTGGACTTTCAAATTCCAAGAGTTTGCTCCTACTTTAGTCTCTATCCTGGAAATTTCAGGCTAAGTGAAACTTCATCCTGGCTATGGCCAAAATCAATAGTCAACAGAAGCAGCATTTCAGATATGTGAAAGAGCACAGACAATAGATTCAAATAGATTAGCGTTTATATTCTGAGTCATAATTGTGAGCTGTTTTACCATTCATCAGTTAAATTAATCTCGTGGTACCTCAGTTTTCCATCTGCAAAATGAGGATAATTATACTACTTCATGTGAGTGTTGTGAAAATTAAATGATAAAATGCATGTAAAGAGCCTGTCATGCTGTTTGGTAGATAGATAATAGAGACTCACTACTTGATGGCTATTGTTTTTATTAAAACACCTCAATAGTAGAAATAAACAGCAAGAGGAAAAACTACCACAACTAATATTACTAGATAACTACTACTGTTTTCTGTTCTGCTCTTTCTCCTTCTCTTTCTCCTTTTTCTGTTTGTTTTTCCCTAATCTTCTTTCTTTTTATTTCAAATCTACTATTGCAAATTATCATCATCATACTACCATAAACATCAAGCAAATTATAATAGTTAGAATCTGGACTCTATGTTAGACATACCTGAATTTCAGGCTCAGCTCTGCAAATTGCTTCCTATCTCTGTGATAAAAGTCTCCTAACTGGCTCTCTCTTTCTGTCCTAGGCCTAACCTGTCTTTAATGTCTACTCTTAACAAGGAAATGGGAGTAATTTTACAATAT